TTAGCACAGGTGCTGAGGCCTGTGCATGTGGAGCTCAGGGCAGGATTGGGGACTCAGAATGATTGTGATTGCTACTCTGAGTGTAAATACTCTAATGCTTTTTTGGATGTTACTACCTTTGGGTCTGAGAACAGAAATGGTTCTCTGAAATGCAGCACTGTCAGGGGCTTTCAGCTGATTACCTATATTTTGGTATTAAGAGCTAACATCACTGGTGAAAGGAGTCACAGACATATTAGTACCTTGCAGTTGAGTCAGTAAGGGTTGCTTCGAATGAACAATGGGAACCATCCTGAAGAATCTTGTTCTAACTGGCTGCTTCCAGTGAGAAATTCCACCTGTCCAACTGAACTCAACACCATGACCTTTACATGGAAAACTCAAATTACAAGGTCAGATGAAAGAGAAATAAGCATTATCACAATTTTGCATTATAAAAGCCATTTAAAGTACCACATGCCAAAGTGATGGAACAGTCTCAAGTTAGTTTCATTGTGGATGATGAATTATAAGTGGGGCTGAAATAGAGTCTCCTTGTAATTCCCAAAAGAGCAGGGAACAATTCAGCCCTCCTCATCAGAACCTGGAAAAGGTAGGAACGAACAGGAAGCCCAGCGTCATCTGACGATGCCTCCAGTGGCAATGATTCACATCCATCCTCTCCACTTCACATCCATCTCTTTCCACTTCAAAATGTAACTGCTGCATCTCCACCAGAAATGCTGACACAAAGCTGTGTACATAGGAGGGGTGTGTGCTCCTTCATTAAAACATTTATCTTCTCCCCAGGGAGAAACAAAAAATGATTCGCAATTGCCAATAAAGAAATGAAAAGAAAGATAAAAATCCTAGCAGGACAGGATGCATCCATGCTGTTAACTAGTAATGGAGCAACCCCCATGAGCTGTAACTGGGTTAAGAGTTAGCATAAAACTACCATCCACCAGTGTGTGCTCTTCCAACCTGCTCAAACGTGTCTTGGTCAAGAAGAATTAACTGTGGTTAGGGCTGGGTTTTGGGTCCACTTACATTATCCAACTCTGAGGCAAACTCTGTCATGACTCTCCGAGCCAAAGGGTTTGTGGTCTTGAGCAGTTCGGCTGCAGAGGTGCGATTCCCAGGACTGGTTTTGTTGCCTTTCTTCTGTAGCAGGGCCTTAAAGTCTTCAGTCCTGCTTGAAGCTTTCCCAATACCAACAGTTGCTGTGGGGGATTCGCTGGTTGGGGACCCTGATGTGTTCTTGACTGGTGAGAGAGAATTTGGTCTGCTGCCAAAGGAGTCACTTGGCTCCTTCCACCCAAGCAGCTTCCTCTTTGACCTAAACACAAAGGAAACTCTTGTTTGGGGTAGACAGGAAGGTGCGCATTATGTGTACTGGTTTCTAGAGGAGAAGGAGCCCTCAGAGATATCTTTAACAGAACCCCAGGGAATACTCTTATTTTATGGACTCTGCTTGTTGACTGGACATTGCCCAGTCACAGTGATTTACCTTCAAGTCAGGCTTGTCTGTGATTGTGAGAGCAGTGACTGCTCTCACTCTGACCCTGAAATGATTCCCGTGTATAACAGCAAATCCCATGTGACCAGTCACTGCTGAGGGATACAGAGGCCAGATTATTCACTGAACTAGTGAGGGGCATTTTCTCATTAAAATAACAGACATGAGACCAAATTCACTGATGGCATGAGTTCCCTAAAGTCAATAGAGTCCCATTAAGGATGAATTAGACCCGCAGCTGTACTTAGAAGTCTCAAGCTGGACAATAGTCCTGTGCTGCTTACTCTAGAGACTAATCTCTTCCAGGACTGAGTTAGGATAGCACAGGTAGTCCCATCCTCCTATGATGCCAACCAACCACTCAGCACCAGCTGTCTTAAGCCTCAGCTGGAAAGGTCACATTTAGGGAGGGAAGGGAGGTCGGGTTCCATGGCACATCCTGTTCTTGGCCTTACCTGGGTCTGCCAACAAGGAGGACAGTCAATGCTCATACTGATGGTGGGGGATGGGGACGGGGACAGGACACATACTGTGGACTGTTGTATTCCAGGAACTTCACTGAACCCCCCCACCCTGCCCCCTCCAGTTCATTTCCAAGAGCAACCAGCAGCTGCCAGGGTAATGATCTGTAGACCCTTGCATTTCAAAACAGGTAGGTGGTTCCCTAGAACTATCTATTCCATCCAGAAAAGTCATCAATGGTTTTATGATAAGGCACTGAAGGGCTGAAACATACTTCATGGATTGTAGCACCATGCAGATACCCTGATTCAGGAAAGAATATCTCCCAGGTTTTGGAGCCAACTCTACTTTGTGAAACATGGGCACCAGGACCACAGGAGGGGATCAGACTCATCACCAAGGAGGCTTTCTGGAGAAGACTCAGCTATATGTGCCCTGAAACATGTTGCTGGACATGGAGTGTCTCCACTAGTATTTCTGCTATGCTAGCCTACTAGATGTGCTGGTGCTGGTGAAATGAATTAGACTGAATTAGACAGCCCTGTCTATCTGTTGCCTGAGCAGTCAGCCTGAGCAAGGGTAGGCATCACTTTTCCTATCAACATGCCCTCCCTGGAAAGGGGGAAGTTCAGGTCTTGGCTCCGCTGCTGACTGGCAAAGACACCACTTGCTAGCTACTGTGCTGGAGACTCCAAAATGCTAATGGTAATGACACCTTGGCAGAGACCTGGCTTTCCCATGAAGAAAACAAGTGTGTACCTGTGGATCACAGTGAATAAATCCTCTGTCGTGCGGGATGTCACAAACACATCATCATCTTCCTCTACTATTGAATCTGCTGTTTTATCGCTTACAAAACTCTTCTCTTCAGCACCAAACTCCATCGAGTTCCCTAAAGAGAAAGAAGAAAACTGGGTATGAAATGAATGAGTCAGCCCTGGGCTTGTATAGGCTCAAGCTGAAGATAGCCACCACCCAAAAATATGTATAGCATATACCACACCATGGAGCCAAGCCATTGTGCCAGTGCCCACAGCCTGTTATTGAAGATCAGCTGGAGCAAAACACAATCATTCAGAACAACAAGAATTAGCGTCCATCTCGGGTAACTGCATAACGGTGCTGCCGAGTACTGCACATCATCACATCACATCACATCACATCTCACTGCCTAGAAGCCTTGGGAAGAACTGAAGAGAAAAGCTAGGAAGATGTTCAGCTAGCAGGGGCAGGAGCAGCCGAACTGGTAACTCCAGACCTTCCTGGAACCTCCTGTGACTTGGACTGGCCAATCTCTACCCAGTGTTGAGATGCTGTTTGCTCAGGTTCTTCCTATCCCTTACAGTCTCTTCCCATCACCTTCATCCTACACCTGCCCCTCTTATGCTTTTCTCCTTGCACCTGGCCCCCAAACCCTCTTTTGTTTTCCTTCCATGATCCTTTCCTATGGAAACCCACCACCCAAAAGGTGGTCCTTACTATGCCATTTGCTAAAAATCATAGAATCATACAACGTTAGGGTTGGAAGGGACCTCAGGAGGTCATCTAGTCCAACCTCCTGCTCAAAGCAGGACCATCGTCAACTAGATCATTCCAGCCAAAGCTTTGTCTAGCTGGGTTTTGAAAACCTCCAAGGATGGAGCTTCCACCACCTCCCTGTGTAACTTGTTACAGTGTTTTACTACCCTCCTAGTGAGAAAATTCTTCCTAATATTTAACCTAAACTTCCCTTGCTGCAACTTGAGAGCATTGCTCCTTGTTCTGTCATCTGCCACCACTGAGAACAGTTTAGCTCCATCCTCTTTCAAACCCCGTTCAACTAGTTGAAGGCTGCTATTAAGTCTCCTCTCAGTCTTCTCTTCTCCAGACTAAATAAGCCCAGTTCCCTCAGTCTTTCCTTATAAGTACTGTCCGTTAGCCCCCTCATCATTTCTGTCGCCCTCCACTGTACTCTCTCCAATTTATCCACATCTTTTCTGTAGTGGGGGACCCAAAACTGAACACAGTACTCCAGACGCGACCTCACCAGTGCTGAATAGAAGGGAATAATCACTTCCCTTGATCTACTGGCAACACACCTACCAATGCAGCCCAGTATGCCATTTGCCTTCTTGGCAATAAGGGCACACGATTAGCTCACATTCAGCTTATTGTTCACTGTAACCCCTAGGTCCTTTTCTGCAGAGCTGCTGCTTAGCCCCCAGCCTGTACCGGCACATGGGATTGTTCTGTCCTAAGTGCAAGACTTTGCACTTGTCCTTATTGAACTTCACAAGATTCCTTTTGGCCTAATCCTCCAATTTGTCTAGATAATTCTGAATCCTAGCTCTATCCTTCAGCATATCTACTACCCTCCCTCCAGCAAATCAAGACAACCTGGGACAGTGCTACTCTGGAGTGACAGGGGGGAAGGCAGCAGGGCCACTGTCACACTGACCTGAAGGAATCTCCCCAGACACAACAGCTGGAGAGTTCACTGTCTTCTCCTGTGCTGCGGGTGGCAGCAGGTCACTCATGGTTGGGTCACAGCAGCTGTTGTCTTCATCCAGCGTGATGATAGGGCTAGGCGTCAACCTCTGCTCTCCTTGACTGGGCCCTTGTGGGGGCAAGGGAGTGATGAGTGGTAGGTAGAGCACACTGGGCTTCTTTGGAACTGGGGGAGGGATCTTGGCTTTCCTCTTCTCCCCATCAGGACCACTGGGGGCATTGCTCCTCTCTGGTGCCAGTTGCAGCTCGTCTTCCAGGCTGCTCTGAGACAGTCTCTGTGTTCCTGAGAAAAACATCCCCTGAGAGCCCTGGGGGGATGGTAGTGCAGCTGCCAGGGGCAAAGGGGGCTCCCCAGGGCTCCTATCATCAGAAATCTTCGGCTTGGGTTTCCGGACGGCTACGTACATGTCTTGTGACAGTGCCTTCTCTCTGGCAGTGGCACCTGGTGGAGTCAGAGGGGAGGTTGGGGATGCTAGGGGGGACTCCTCCTGTAAAGGTGGTTGCTTGTGAAGGATGTTTGGGGGTCTCCTGGATAATGGTGGCTTCTCTGCTACTGGGGGCTTCACTTTCCTCTCCGGAGGGGAGAAGACATCTTCTCTCTGCTCCTCAGCATGGTCTGGGCTATCAGTATTATCCTCTGGTTCTGACTTGCTGACAGAGCGCAAACGAACTGACCTCAGGTCTGACTGTGTGACCACAGGCATGATGGGCTGGATGGTGCTTGTCTTCTGGCCAAGCTTGGTTCCAAATGTGGAGTCAGAATGATGCCTGCTCACTTTGGTCTTACCCTTAAGAGAGATCTTTAGCCCTGAAAGGTCCAGGTGTGTTGGTGGATTAATTGGCAAGTCGAAGGATAGTCTAGACTTAGGGCTCCTCTCCATAGGTGATACCGGGGGCAGTGATGACTTCCTTTCAGGGACCAGTGGCCTCACCCTGTTGGTCTGGTGTGGAGAGTGTCCGAGAATGGCTGATGTGGGGATGGTTGGTGTTGGGGTTTCTGACTGGCTGGAGTAGCCACTGGAAGGGGACATCAGCCCAGTGGGTCTCCCTGGTGAGGAGGTTTTCATGTCCACCTCAGTGGAGAGCTGGGAAGGTGTGGTGGCTCTGGAAATGGAGGGGGAGATAAGGGACTCAGAGCTGCCCTGCACCTTAACACATTCGATCACAGTGGTACCTGTGGCAGTACTGGAACTGGACAGAGACCGGTAAGGATCACTGGACTTCCAGTCCATGAGATACCACTGATGAGAAAAATGCATGTTGTCCTGGTCCCTTGTGGGAGGCACTGCTGTGTTACCCTGGGCATCGGTGTGCACAAAGTTATGTCCCTGGTGATCTAATGGGATGCAAAGGCTCTTGGGTCTCTGGTCCTTTGGCAACACTGAAACAGATTCTGCTTTGACGACCTGTCCATCTTTAATTAAAGAGACACTGCGTGTAGGTGGAGAGGGCTTCTTCTTAGCCTTTTTGAGAGAGATGCTTTTGGAGCGTCGCCTCTGCTGGTCATCCTGCTCCAAACCTAAGGAGATATTATCTGTACTTGTGCTACCTTCAGAGCTGGCACTGGGGTAGCTCAGTGCATAATTGGCACTGCCTCGACGGTTCTCAGTGTACATGATATCCACAGAACAAAGAGAACCTGAATCTGTAGGCACAGACAATGACCGCTCACGGAACCTACAGGCACTTCTGTCCATTTCCGCCTGGGAGGGCTCTGCATCTTCTGCACTGCTAGGCAAGAAGTTCACCTTGGCTTCTTTCTCCTCTGGCTTCTGGCTGCCTACAGCATTCATGGATGACTCAGGAGCACTGCAGAATGAGCTGGACCCATTGCTTCCTATGAGGTTGTCTTTACCAATGAAGAAGGAGGTTGTGCTGTTGCTGGTCACAGGTGAGCCTATGTCTGGAGACACCTTGGAACTGCATGGTGAAGAACACATGTTTTCATTGGCTAGTTTGCTCTGGCTTGCGACTGGACTTGATGGGCTCATATAGTTGAAGGAACTTGCATTCCAAGAGGGGGAGAAAGTAGAGTCCTTTGGTCTGTTGCAAGAAGGACTGGTGTAGGTTGTGCCTATGCTCTCCATCCTTGTAGGGGCCTGGCAGCAATGTGCTTGCAGGGTCTCCCCTAGATCACTGAATGTCTTTCTCAGTGGAGCTGGCAGAGGCCGGGGGGTGCCAGCCTCATGTGTTGAGTATCTCCCATTACCAACCTCAGGAACAAAGCTGCATGATGCAGACTCCACTATGGTTGCATGTGGACTGAATGTTGGACCATTGCTATTGCCTGGAGGAACAGACACAAACACAAGTGAATCCTTGTGGGTGTGCAGGGCCAGGCACCAACACAAATATATCATGGCAGTGTCTCAGCCTACAAACTATGAGAGGGATCCCTTTGTAGCCACAGCACCATTTAATAGCACCTCACACCTAATTGTATACTTAAGCGCTGGCAAATCCCCTGGTTGGGAACTATCTGAGGATCCTGTCCCCCCAGGAGCCATACTGAAAACTTTGGCTATACTCTGTTCCTTCACCTCTAACTGACCCCAGCAGGATGCTAATGCACTGCTGAGATTCCTGACCTCTGACACACATAGGTGAGGAATCAGAGCCCCCTCCCTGGATGTGGGGGGACCCTCTCAACAACCACCTCCTCCTGCTGGTGCATGGGATCTCAGTCATCTATGTTACACCATCTCTGCCCCCCGGCCCAGAACTGAGGGTTCATCATGAAAGGGACAATGGGGCAAGCTGGGGGCAATAGGTAAGCTCGGTTCAGGTCAGACACATAGTATCACTGCATTTTGGCTTCATAGGACATGTCCTGGGGACGTGCTTATTGCATCATATTCCAGTCCTCTCTCTTATGAGGAGGGAGGAAACCTTGGCTGGGGTAGTGCACTTCCACAGAGGACCACAGTCATGTGAAAGCACAAGGCATATGTGTGGATACCTCTTGCCACTGAAACCCATGACTATTGGGGTACACTGAGCATGATGGTGCCCTTTGCAACAGGAAAGCGTGGAGCATTTCCTGTAGAGATCTCTTCCCCTGGGATTTTCCTGGCCGTGGAAGAGTGCTCCTGGCCCATGGGTTGGAATTCTCTGTGCACAGCAGTGTTACTCTCAGCACAACCAAGTTACCTGTGTGGGTCCACTTGAGTGTCCAGTTAAGAATGGCACATGGTCACTCACCACAATGACAACCGTAACCAATTCATCCAGACTCCCTATGCTAGCTACAGTGATACTGGATGCTACATCAGTGGGAGATAGCTCTGGTCAAAGTGCACTAAATCAGGGCAGGGGCCTTTTCTATTGCAGAACCAACTCAGAGCCAGAGATTAGAAGACTAATGAAGGGCATCACCTCTCTGGGCTGGATCATAGTTTCTGGGAAGTACTGCACTCTAACAGCTGTCTTTACAAGGTGATAAACTAGGTACTTTGCTGTGGAGCTAAGCCGGACTGTGGCCAGTTACAGCCATGCTAGACCTCATGCAGAGTTCTCAATGCCAAGTACCAACAGTGATTCACCATTTTCTCAGGTCAGGTTATTCAGTTCTAATACTTACAGTGATGGAGTTCAGGCTTTCTCTATTCAACTTCTTTATAGAGATTGATCACGTGGGGCAGGGGCCTCCTGTTTTCTGCCATCTGGGCCAGGTCTACAACGTGGGGACTGTGTCCAGGGACACATGATGACATGGGCCAGGTTCAGAGTTTGGTTTGGATTAGATTGGGCTGAAGTCTGCCAAGCTATTCTCACTGGATTCTGACCAAATCCACACTGCCTCTGGGGAAAAGGCCCTGTCTGGATTTGGAACCAGAACATCAGGGAAGAATAGAAACAGCCTCTACCGCTGCTCCAAAATATGGAAAGTTTGGGACTGCAGGTATTAGCCTCATCTCCAACAATCTGGGCACTATCTCCCAGGCCATGTCAATAAGCCAGTTTTATGCTCTGGCCCCAATCCTCTCTCACAAGCTATGCATGCCAGAAGCGGTGGGGGGCAGGGAGCAGGGACGGGCTTCCAGAGAGATCCATAATCAAGGCTGCACATTTCCACTTGGCAAGGCCCTTCCTGGGCAGTGCCTTCCCTGGTAACTACAGAGCCACGCGCAGATGGGACACTGTTAGTTGGCTGTTTTCTTGGTGGGGGCCAGGGTGGGGTATCCAGCACATGGAGGTCCTGGCTACATCATCCCTGACTTTCACTTTGGTCTAGGAGAAACTAACATGTCTATGTCACCTGTGAGTGAGCCTAAGGGGTTCACAAGAGAGTGACAAGAGATGTTTTCTGACTGTCAGGGGCAGACCAGGCTGTCCCACTGTCTGAGCTCATCACTTGACATTTCAGGAGGACAGTACTGAAGGTCTCTCTTTATTTGAAGCTCGAATAAATATGATATAGGGAGCTAATTTTCCTTCCAGAGGAATACTCTCACAGCTGAGGCACGCAGGCCAGACCCCATCCTGTCCAGTGGACAATATATTATGTGGCACAGAAGAGCCAGAATTGGAGTAAAGTGATTCTGTAGGGAAGCTGATGGACACAGAGGTTTCCGGGGCTCTCCAGCTCACAGCCAGTGCCACTTCATGTCACCACTGAGGGTGTTCTTCTATCCTGGTCTGGAGTAGAAAGGGCTGTGCCTCAGCAAGCACATTTCAGAACCAGACCCTGGGATGCATGGTGACTCTTGGCAGGGGGAGGTAACCTGTGTTCTCAGAGAACTATTGCTGTCATCTTACCTTCCTTTTTTATTACAAGTAACAGCACGAATAAGCTGCAAATTGCAGACTAGTCGCTTGTCAAATGGCATTGTTAACAGAGGAGCTGTCAAAAGGCTGAGCTGTAGAACAAAAGCACATGCATCCTGGCAACCGGGCCTCTTGCACTCACAGGCAATTGCTCTAACAATCCACGTGACTTCTGTCTGCAGAAAATGAGTTACCTAGAACAGGCCAGTGTGGGGCTCCTTACTGAGCCCCATGTTCTGACTGCGTGAGACCCTGAGATGAGTTGTGCATCCACAACTTGTCGTAATAGCAGCAGCAGCAGCAGCAGCAGCGGCAGGTGCTTAGCACCTCCAAAAAGCATTGGGGACCCAAATTTGAGGCACACAGAATTATGCTAAATAATGAAAGACAGCAAATCCTGGCACCCCCTCCCATTCTTTATCTACCTGCCTATCCTGCTCCTTAAGTTAGTGAGAGCCAAGTCAGGATGTCAGGATTTGACTTCTGGAACCCTTCTGGGCATGGTTGGCTGGTGCCAATGAAGGATATTTTCCTAAGAAGAGGGGGTTAGGATGAGTACCATCAGAGATGGTAAAGGACTGGCAGGTCTCAGAGCTTGTCCTACTGCAGACAGGCAGGTGCCATAGGGAAGTCCTAGCTAAGCCTGAAACTGGGTGCTGCTATGAATAATCTCAACGTTTACAGCATATGGGCCTTGCCTCTGACAATGGTAAAACTCTACTGTCAGCGAGGGTGGCTCTGGATGTGTGTCCAGCCAGTGCCTGGGCACTCTCTAGTCTGGGGCCAGGGGGGCAAGGAAAGGAACTGTGCAGTCATTGTTGTCACCTTGGTCTCGCAGCGAAAGGTTAGGAAATCCGATAATGGTCCGTCTGCGCCGCAGGGTGGACTTGGGGTTCATCGCGGTCTCTGTGTTAAACAAGGAGTGACGTGCACTCGCGTGCCTAGCAAAGTGCTCTCCTGTAGCCAAAACAAACACACTGTACATGGCAGCACAGGACAGGAGGGGAGGGTGGGCAGCAGGACTGCATGGATGACAAGGGTCAGTGCTTCAGGCTCCCTACTCCCACCACCTGCAGGCCCACCCTCCTGATCAAAGGCATAGCTGGGCTTCTCTGCACTCGAGATGGCAGCAGTAACAGGGGTGGCAGTTGCAGTGGGCCTGCCAGTGGCAGTCAGGCCAGCAGTGCAGAGTTGCTCTTTCTGTGCCTCCCTCAAGTAAGCACCTGGGGCTGGTGCCTCAGTCACCCCCCCTGTAGTTACACTGCTGCCCCTGATCTGGGCCACAGGGCTCTGCCAAGCAAGAGTTGCTCAAAGCCCTTGGACTATGTGATTTTTGGTTTAATGCCCCACTCCACTGATTTAGGCAAAGCCATGCTGCCATGCTGGGGTGAACTCAGTGCCTTGAGCTGATAACACAAGCTCCTTCTTTTCTCCACAGCTAACGCCTCAGTTTTCTATCATCCCATGTGAGCTCAAATAGTTGTGCTTAAGTGCACAGGGCCTTCAGTACAGGCTGTGTAGGGCCAGCAATGGGGCTGAGTGTTGGATGTCACAACAAACAACAAAGTGTGTGTACCAGGGACAGACTGTACTGTAGAGTACAGAGACAGTAGTTGCAGAGGCAGTAGCATGTAACAAGGGGCCTGGTTTTAAGAAGCACCCAGAGTGTGGTGCAAACCCACAGAATGACCCATGTGCTGTGATGTGACTATCCTTATATGTGGGTGTGCATATGTGTGTAAGTATGGTAGCATGTGGGTCAAGGATACCAACTGTGGGCATGAGTTTAGGGCAACACCACACACCTGAGTAGCAATGCTGCAGAGAAGCAATTCATGTCCCCACGTACCCACAGTGTGCAGGCTATGGAATTTCATGAAGTTACTTTAAAAATATGGTAGAGAACCTGAAAATGTCTCTTGGGCTTGTTTTTCAAGTTGGGCCCTTAGCCTTCTGGCTCTGAGTATACAGATGGGAGTATGAAGACCTCCACCAAGGATCTAAAAAGTCTTCTCCAGAAAGAATGAAGCCAATTTCTCACAGTCAGTCAGGGCTAGAAACAACGTATCAGCCACTACACCTGCTATAGACTGAAGCCTGTGTTTTGTTGGTAGTAGGGAGGGAGAAATTCCAATTTCAAGGGCAGAGGGGAAACATTTCTCTGGAATATTAATTATTTAAAAATCAGCTGTTTGAAGCAATCCAGGGGGTTGGAATGTTTGTCCTACAAAGAAGGGTTAAAAAAGGTACATGAGATGGTCACACATGTAATGTAACCCACCACTGCTGTGTGTATGTGTGTAAGAGACAGACAGGCAGACAGACAGGCAGACAGACATGAAGGGACAGTATGAGCCACTGTCTGACAAAATACAAAGCCATGTGATAAACTTTTATTACCTGCCCTACTCCCTGCCCTGTCTCAGGTTGGACTCTAACATTCAAACCCTTGCAGCAGATCAACTGCTGATGTTTCCTAGGCCTTCTATGTCTCCTTTCACCTCACAATTCCAGGGTCTCAAGTTTGCACAGGCAGGGCTCAGTCCTGGACCAGGAACAGCCTTCAGGTCTGGCAGTATTGGAATGATGTAGCTGTGATGGTCCAGGAAATATTTGAGAAGCAAAGATTTTTGTGGGCAGTATTGTTTATTAGACCAACTGAATAGTTGGGATAGACTTGGACTAAATTTATCTCAACTATGCAGTTGGTCCAATAAAAGATAGCACCACAACAATCCTTGCTTTTCATAACCTCAGGTTTGCTATTTCACAGCCCATCAATGTCATAAATAAGAGACACCATGAAATGTCTTCATTCCCACTGGAATACAGAATTTGCTTCAGGTCCTGGAAAGCAGAGAGAGATTCGACTCATAAATGGGGACAAATTAGAGGAAGCTCTACAGGCTGCTGGTAGAGGGGTGCTGATTCCCACACAACTCTGCCCAGGTGTATTAGTGGCCAGAGGTACTTGGCTTCCACCAGCAGGCTGGGCAGGTTGATACAGGGCATTGGCACATGGCAAGGGATGTGCATGTGTGATCCTGGGGAATGTGGAAGTGCTGACAGGAAGGCGATGCTCTGCATCAGTGGGAGCCAGTCTTAGCATCTTTCCAGGACCAGCATGTGGCCACTTGTCCCCTCCATCATCTCTTGTGGTGAGAGTCACTGAGAGTGTGAGGCAGAGCTGGTGAGGTGGGAGCCCTGCTTGCTTCAAGTGGCACCTGCCATGCAGGTAGGCCAATCAAGCTCACCCATGGGGAGGAGTGAGTGAGGCAAGGGAACTCATACTGTTCTATGAGCCATACCTTCTGGCTGGTGACAGATACCTTTTCAAGGAAGGGAGGGTAATTTTGACGTTCATTCTTCCTTCATCAGCTTTATTAGGAAGTCCCTTATCAGCAGGATCAGAACAGCCAGAGAGCAGGCTTTGGCTGCAAAAGGGTTAATGATCCCCATGACCTTTGTCTTGTGAGAAAGTAGGGTTTCTTTTTCCTGGCATGCAGTCTGAATTCCCCTCCCTGCCATTTAAGTCAACAGCAGTAGGTCAGGGGAGCACTATGACAAGCAAGAAGAGGAATGAGTAGTTAGCAGTGAGATCCAGCCCCACAGAGAGAGATAGAGCAAAGGTGGGTGAATGACTCCCAGCCTTAGGAACATGGTGATGATGGACTGGATGAGACTTGCCCATGGAGACACAAAGTATCACAAGTCACTGAGACCACTGCAGCTTGTGTATAGGCAGTTGGGCTAGGCAGCAGCATGGGGGTACAGGGACAAGAAAGACAAGGGCTCAGCGAGAGCTTTCCTAATGAGAGGATCCAGCCATGGGGCCTGGAGTGGCCTGAGATCAGAGGCTGAGGTTTTGGCAACAGTAAACCCCACAGGAGAGCACTAACATGGCACCAGAGTTGGGGGAGGGGGTGGTGTAAGTGGGGGATGCAGAGTCATGGCTGAACGGCCCAGAGAAGCTGAGTCTTGCTGAGCCTCTGTACAGTCCATATACATTTCAAGTCCTAAGCTCCAGCAGGTGCTTAAGAGGAGCAAGCACTGCTGCTGCAGGACAGAGGCCACTTCACCCTGTGCACTGGTTTCTGCACCACCCCCCAACCACAATGGACCACATGCTGGAGGAGTGTCTCCTGCTCATTTACCTGGCACTGAATGAGGCCTTCTAGTTTCTCAAGACATGCCTCGCAGGCTACGCTGACTCTCCTTCTCAACTAGGGTGCTTGTACATGTGACGAGGGTTTAGTTCTTGGGGTTGCATTCTCCCCTAAATTGAAACAGTGAGTTTTTAACTGAAGCCCACCATTTCAATTTAGTGGGTCTAGTTTTCCATCACTGTTAAGGCGAGGGGCCTGATCCTTTTTTTTTCTGGCAGAGCCTGCTCACAGCTTGGGAGCAAGCTGCCGGCGGGCCGAGCAGCCCCTGAGCTGCAGGGGGGCCTAGTCCTTCCCTCTCTGTGGCGGCGTTATCCACTGGGGCTGCCTGGGAGGGCTGCTAGTGGGCTGGGTACTGCCCCAGCTTGGAGGCAGCACCTGGCCCGATCCAACTCTTTCCTGACCCTGAGCTGGGGCAGCACCTGGCTTACTAGCAGCCTGCCCAGGCGGGCTCTGCCGCAGAGGGAAGGACCAGGGCCCCCTGCGGCCCTGGGGCTGCCTGGCCTTCTGGCAGCTTGCCCCCCCAGCTGGAGGAGAGGTGAGCAGGCTCTGCTGGAAAAAAAAAAGAATTGAGCCCCTTGCTGCTTCTACCATTAGCAGGTGCCTGCTGAAGGCAGAAGCAACGAGGGGCTCTTTTTTCCTTTGGAGCCTGCCTGCCTCTCCTGCAGCTGGGGTGTGAGCTGACTAATAGCTGCAACATGTCATTGCAAACTAAACTACATTGGGAGGTAGTTTAGTTTGCAACAATGCAAACTAATTTAAAACCCCCAAAACTCTTTCACATGTACAGTGTGATACCCTTAAGCCACACAAAGTGACATTTTCGTCATGTGTATATGGTAATGGGGTCATGTGTACAAGCGCCCCTAGAGCTGGTGGAGGAATGCCAATGTTTGGCAGGGAGATGTGGAGGAGTGTGGGGTTGGGAGTGTTGGGATCAATGGGGGAGTGAATATCCTGCAGGACCTAAGCAGGTTGGTGTTGTGAAAGTCCCCCTGGTGAGAGGAGCTGCAGCCTGACAGCTGCCAGTTACAGCCCTTCCTGCCAATCACATGAGCCTTCAAGCAAGGACAGATGGACAGGTTGGACCAAGCACTACAAGAACCAAGGTGACAACAGAACAGGCTGACTGGTTAACTAGAGGAAAAACGATAGTCCAGAAACTCAGGATATGGTGCAGATAAGACCAGATTAATGTAACGAGATGGCTAATTTAATGAGATGGTCAAAAATTAAGAATGACTTTATGGATGGTAAAATACATGCTTGAGAACAAAGCACAGAGAAACAGCCCTACAGATATCCAGTCCCATACCAGTGTGGATAGTTGGTTTGATCAGCTGTTGGCAATGTCAACCACTGCCCATGAGGGCCAAGAGTGTTGCTGCCAACTGGTCCTACCTCCCCAGGCCTGGTACCACCTCCCTCCCCCCACAGTCACTCTGCTTGGGTCTGATAGCATTGCATTCCCCTGGATGCAGCTACATGCTGCACAGGCCTGGGATCCAACAGTCTTTCTGGGCTCACAACTGCACCCCTCCCTCACAACAGGGTCCAATCCTACTGCTGTGGATTGACTGAAGTGTTTTAATTTCTTGACCCCATAGTCTTACCCCTCTTCCAGAGAGGCCCTGGAGGGGGCCCATCCCTACCTGAGATGTTGATGGGGCCCATCCCTACCTGAGATGTTGATGGGGACAATGTTGGCCTGGGTGGAGCATGATTGATGCCATCTCTTCTCTTCCACGACAGGCAGGGGAAAGGGTTTGGCCCAGCCTGTTGGCTTGTCTGGGGTGGTGGGCAGGCTTAGGGAAGACTTGGGGGGCCTCACGCCCACTGTAGTAGTCTCATCTTCATTTTCTTGCCAATTTGTGGGCTGTGGAAAAAATGGAAACGAAGCCAAGAAGACTGTGTCATGGTAGGAAGGTCCCATGTGCAGACGAGGCACACAAAAGTGGGGAAGGTACTGGGGAAGGAGGGAGTGACTGTCAGCATGTGCGAGGGGAACAAGGGACTGGAAATGACAGCTCAGGTCAGGACTCCACTCTCTTCCTCCCTTGATGCCCCACAATCCTAATCCAGGTCTCCCCTGCCCTGCTCTGCCCCTGCCCCTCACTCCTAACCTGTAGCCCCCCTGCCTACTGATCTGCAGCCACAACCCTGGATGATTCACGAGTAGTGCTGACCCTTCTTTCTCCTCACCATGGGCTCAGGAGGGCAGCTGAAGTGAACTGCCTTGGGGAGAGGGGACAATCCAAGCCCTGTTGAAAGAAGCTCTTCCCCTCCATCAGGATGGTTCCTCTGTCTCTTTGCAGCATCACCCTTTCAGCTGCCTCACTGCAAGGTAGAGGCAGGCCCAAGAGCTGGCCTGCAGGAGCATTTCTGGGCTGGACTTGTGCACTGCAGCTGGCAGAAAAAGTGACAGACCCACCTCCCACTTGGAGCAGCTGGGGAGACTCACCATGAACACAAACTCCAGGCGCTTGGCAGGTGGTGGTCTGGGGGACGGCTCAGGGGGTGTGTCTGAAGGTTGGTGGCTAGAACAACGGAAGGTCTGACCAGTGACTCTGGTATCTGTGTACTGCTCCTCATACTCTTCTGTAAGACAAACAGCCAGGGTATTTCCATAGCTGAGGGAGTGGGGTGTGCAGGGTAGGACTTAGGACCAAGGCTTAGGACCCTGCCAGGGCAGGATCTAAGTCAGAGATGGCCTGGGGTCCAGAGGGTCAGGGGCTATAGCCCAAGAGGGATGAAATCAGGGCAAGGGGCCCAGAATTTGAGTAGGGCTGGAGATCATAAGCTGGGACTCAGTGCTGTGGGCCTAGGCTAAAGGAGCTCAGCTAAAGGAATGGGGCAGAAGCTAGGAAGGCTGAGACCCTGACAAAGGCTTGGAGGCCTGAGTAGGCGAGACCTTATATTGAGGCCAGGTACCTCCTGAGAGTTATAACTGATAACATCTGTGAGGCATGGGCATAACTATGGGGGTGCTGGAGGTCATGGTTATTGCCCTTAAGACTCGACTGGGATTGTCTTAAAGGAGAAGCCCACCCCGCAGAGTTTGGGGCAGAGAAGCTTGGAGGATTTACCCTGAGAAAAGACACCTAGGAAGAGGCTACCCATTCTCCGGTGGCAGCCTCCCTAGTTAAAAACCCTAAAGATCAAGTCGTGGCAAGTGAGCGATAGGAAGCAGAAAAAGGAAACCACGGAGCATAAGCAGGTTGGTCTGACTGCCAGGTGTATTGGACACAAAGTGGATTGTCTTGAGCCTGCTACAGAGGCCCATAACCCAGAAACTGTATGGTCAACACTTGCCAAGAGGCCTCTGCATTAGCTGCCTCCATTTCTGGAGGCCCAGTTTGAGAGTGCTGGGCCCTTTTCACACCTCCAGCTCTTAGCCAGGGGAACCACAGGTGCTCAGCACCAATGTGAGTTAGGCCCTTGGGCTCTTGAGTTGGCACACTACTATTGAGGCACCTAAAGCTGGAACCCAGGGTCAGTATGCTTCATGGACAAAAAAATCCAGCAATGCCATGAAGGATTCTGAAATGCCACGAGGGGATGAACCAACCTGCATTCAGAAGAGGTGTTGGACAGTGTGTAAACCAGGCAGAAGCCTCACATCTGTGTGGGGAGGCTAGGAATGCTAGCACCCCAGACTCACCCACTAAGTTGGGACAATTATACTGGCTACTGTTTGACACACAACACCAGATAGCTCAGGCACCTTCAGTTCCTTACACAGAGAGCCCTTCCACAGTTCAGCTCATGGAGACATCTATGTTTGTAAACATTATCATTGAAAACAGGCAGAAATCAGGTGAAAATGATGCCTGACTTCCTGGTGACCTCTAATTCAGAGGTCAAGGTTCTGTGTGATCTATGGTCAGAGCTGCTGGCCTTGCACCCAATACTGCTGTTAGGTCCTATATCAACCTATATCACTCTTACATTCATATGGATCTTACTAGTATCATCTTATTATCTTTGTGCCTTGTACCTTCTTTTCCCTCAGAATCACCCTACCTAACAGTGTTGGTGCCCCTTCTTGCAGTCCACCATCCATAGTCAGAAAGCCTCTACCACACAGGCAGAATGGTACTGGCCATAAATAAGCATGGTAAAGTTAGGGGATCCCATGTAGAGAGAAACCCATAGCAGGTGTGGCTGGTGAACTCAGACCGGTGGGGTAGTGGAGCGTCCCACGGGAGAGGTGGGTTTCGCAGCCGGGTGGGAGGCGGGGTGGGGTTTGCAGCCAGTTGGGCACTCTGGCTGGTAGTGGGGAGGCTGCAACAGTGGGATGCTCCACTGCTCCACCAGTCTGAGTTCACCAGCCACACCTGGCCCATAGGGAAGTGGACCCCATATGGAAACAGGCCAGGGTGGATTCCATGTGAACACAGAGCAGGGAAGCAGTTTCTAGCACTGGTATCTTCTCTACCTGCAGCTAGAAGAGTGAGCTGGTGGCTGTGCTGCAGAAAGGATTCTGGGATTAGAAAGACAAGCATAGATAGTGCAGAACAGCAGGGAGGTGATGAGTCCTTGGACAGCCAAATTCAGGAAGTATTACTGCCCAGGTTCAAGGAAGAAGAGAACTGGCTACCAAGGGAATAGACAGAGAGGGATCCAGAAGGGAGGTGTGACAGTTCATAATCACTAGAATCAAAAGGACAGGGCAGCTGTATGCAGATGGCTAGACAGGTTGTCAGCACCAGAAGGAGGAGGACCAGGAGCAATTCCACAGAGTTAGAAGTTATCAAGCTCTCATCTTGGAAACTGAGGAAGCTATCTCTGAAACTGCTTGAATGGAAGAGAGAGGCAGCACAGTTCTAGAGTGGCTGGAGCGGCCGCTGCATCTGGCATGCAAGGCATGGGGCCAGATGAATAATACCACTGGTGTAGGCAAATATTTCTTAACTCCAAAATTGTTCAATCCAACACAGGAGTCTCTATCTCAAATCTCATCTTGACATGCACAAGCTGATCTCAGAAATAGTCTTGATATAATAAATTCCTGTAAGATGACTGATTTGCTACTACATGACATTCTTTTAGGAGAATGAGAATGATACAAAATCCACATTAAATGGAGTAAAGACTGGCTATTTGATAACTCTCAGAATGTAACTGTAATAAGAGAATTGTCTGAGTGGATGTGTTTCTAGTGGTGTTCCACAAGGATTGATGCTTGTCCCTACACCACTTAATGTGTTTATCATAATTTAAAGTAA